TAAGATAAAAGCTAGTTCAGTCTGTCTGGGGGTGTGTCACTCTTCTGCACAGGGTAACAACTGTGTATTAGACTGCTCCTATTCTTGCAAGAATAAATACTTCTATTTTAATAATTTGACTCTGAGTGTCTCTTACGCAGTGATGTTTGTTTGAGATGAATTTTTGCCACAACAACATAAATACACATGCATTCATACGTATGTATATACATGCACACACACATATATATATATATATAAATATATATATATATATATATATATGTGTGTGTGCATGTATATATATATATATATATATATATATATATATATATATATATATATATATACATGCACACACACACACATATATAGTGTATACATACACAATAAGACAATATATTATGTGTATCATGGGTTAGGGTTAGTTATGTGTGATATAAATATATATACATGTGTACTGTACACAGTACATCGTATACATGTGTTTGTGGGTGTTTTCTGATGAATGGTTTAGTCTATGATTAGGGATGGATAAAGGGGTACATTAGCCATACTGAAATGAATCCCGTTAACAGTTATGGATCGTATGTTAAAAACATAACGTTACATGTTATGGATCGTAGCCTATTTAGGAACCTAAGTTAGTTAATTCACTCATTAACTATCTCTCCAGTTTCATTTTATGAAGTTAAAATTTTACCGAACATTGCTGCAAATATAAGCGTCAACATAATAATCAATGTACATTATGCATCAATATATACCGATAATTGCTGCAAATATAGTCGTTGGTGTTAATGCATTCTCCGTCATGGGAGCACTCCGTTTCCCTCCAAAATTAAACCCAAAAACTTATTAATGCTGTGTTTCTGTCACTCCCCAGAAAAAAATTCTATTATATGTATTTAAAGTAAGCGTCAACATAATAATCAATGTACATTATGCGTCAATATTTACCTATAATTGCTGCAAATATAGCTGCTGCTGTCTGTCCCGCTTAAAATCATTCAAACTGGATGACAGCGCGGCTCTGTTTGGAACTATTGAGAGCTACACAAACCACGTGACCGCGTGGCGGCGAGATCAAAGTGTGTCGCAACTCTCATATTTAACGGCTCTGGGTCTTAGGGGTGGGGTCGGGAGAAGGGCATCATTTTCATTGCATGATTTATAAACACCCACCAGTGTGAAAACACCCACAAATTTAGAAACACCCACTTTTGTTCTGCAGAGACCTCCTACTCGTTCCGAAACGTTTCCGAACACTTCGGAATTTCAATGGTTCACCACTGGGGGCGATGATCTCTGTCAACCCATGATCATGAGGATTCACTGAGAACCATTAAATAAGTGTCTGTGGGTTTTACCTGATCTCTAATCAGTTTTATACATTTGTAGACTTTTTAAAGGAACCGTCAACGTCTCAGTGCATGCATTGTCTTAGTCTGGCAGCGCCGCCGCTAGCTTAGCCTAACATAATGAATGAAATCCTATGTTGCCAGGTAGCATGTCGTGAGTAAAAGTGATAAAAAAAAAAAGAATTACTTCTTGTGGCCTGCTTATTCACAACGAGTACAAATAGCAATGCAGATTAAGACTAGGTGATTTCCTAGGCAGAGATTTATTTGGGACCATATTGGGGGGAAGCACAGGCGAAGCACTGCTAGTTAGGCGCAGAGATATCATGCAACACCTGAAATAAAGCTTGCCACAAAGAACCGGCGAAAGTAATGATTATGCATGAAATATTTGAATTGTTGATAAATTGATAAAGTTGACGATGCAGACTCGCCATCTTCGCAGTAGTGAACGCGCCTATAGAGAGAAATGCACACGCGCCGGCGCCTCCGTGTCTTGATTATATTGTCCACTATATTTGCTTCTTATTTATTAATCCAGGAAATTTGTTGATGAAACATTGATTAAAATGAAGATACAATTTATACAAAACGAAATAAACTTTAAAGAAAGGCTTTCTACAAAACAAAACTTAATAAGTGGTCAAAATCTGACCCAAATGTTTTCCGATATATTGGTCATCTTATGATCCTATCTTACTCATCTCATGCGGTTCCCTTTTCATATAATCAACATAGATGAAATAAAGAAAATAACATTATATTATTTAGACATAAATATGAAACGTATATTTAAGGCTCACATGCTCTGGTGTGTAGCCTGCTACACGTGTGTGGTCTCAATGGCCGATGATCCCGTATCTCCGTGAGTGATTACGCCTTTCATGAGCGTGCTTCTTTTCCAAGTTTATCGTGATTTTGTTGACAAATGTGGGCGACAATCTCAAAATTCATATTAGTTTGTCGGCCGAGAAGCTGAGTAGGGGAATTTGCCAGACGCGTTTGCTCAATGACCAGGAATCCAAAGACTGCGTTTGTAGATTTATTTGCGTTAGAAATGCGTTTAACAGCGGTCAACAAAAAAAGACTTCCCCCGTCACCCCCTCGCTCCCTCTGACAAACCCCACATGTGAGAAGATGATATGCTCTTACTTCCTCCACCACCACCAGGTGCCTTAATTACCGTAAGTGACCGAAAAAATGTGTTTAAAATAATAGAACCATACCAGGCTCTTACAAACAGTTTGGCTTCCATACTCATTGCTCTCATATTTGCGAGGTCTAGCAGTGTCCCTGCAATTCTGTGCAATCGTTTCTGTATTGGTTTAGTGATTATTTTGAACCTTGTTCTGTTAATCTCCACTGTGAATTAGTATTTTGATTCTCTCTTCTGGTTTTGAACATGGTTTTTTTTAAATGTATTTTGGCATTAAAGAATACTGTACATCAGGGCAATTTCAATCTTTTAAGACACATGGACCTCACCACACTCTCAAGCAACCCTGGGACCCCTAATATAAAAAGGTAGATTTTCTAATTAACTTGGTAATATCTGATTGCCCTGTGTAGCCGGTCGATTTAGATACTTGAGTTTAATTTGATATATTTTTTTATGTGCAAAGACAAATGTTGTTTAAACTGTTAACTTCAGCAAAACTTGTGTTCAATGTACTATTTTCAATAGTTCCGATCGGGAGATCCTATCAATTGTTGTATGTGGGGCGGGGCCTTAATTAGTGGGACGCCGAAGGAAATTATATTGCTTCTCCTTTAAGCGTTCGCGCGCAGACGCATTCGCATAGTGTATACGAACGGAAAAGCAGAGGTAGTTTTTCTCTCTTGAATTTGTCTTGTATTTACTGTTTTCTTGTAATGTGATTACTATATTAATGATGTCAAAACTTTGTTAAGAGGTTACTTCATATAGTGTATCAATGTGGTTGGGTTATTTTCTTTGAAAGTGCTTTTTTAACCGTGTCGAAGGAGGCGCTTCATTTTCACGTGTGTCTCTTAATGCAGGAGTGAGAGAGTAGGCCCCTGATGTCAGTTAAAGGAGCTGTATGCAAGATTGTGGCCAAAACTGGTACTGCAATCACTTTCAAATTACTGTAGAGCGGTGCATCCCCTCCCCCTCCCCCCTGACTCGAGGTTGCCAGATAGGCTGCAGGATCCAGCAGGAACGTAGGCTGCTACAAGGAGCTTTCAACTAGAGCAGAGCTGGCAACCCGGATGCCGAAACACTACTGACTTCGTGATTGGTAGATAGGTGGAGGGTGGGGCTTCAGGCCAAAACACAAGATGACAACATCAACATCAGTTGAGGGCTGCAACTTCACTTTTTAAATGACAATATCATGGCCGTACTACTGTTGTCAGTGATATAAGTATTTGAAATGTACATGATTTCTTAATGTCTAGAGACACACCAGGGCCATTTTATGATTAATTGAAAAACATTTCTTACATACAGCTCCTTTAACTTTTGCCTCACTATTCTGTTAAAGGTATGTTGTTTCAATTTGTGATTTAGTAATGTGACTGTTTGTTATATAATCTGTGGATTTAATGCGATGGTTGTGTGTTTGTTATTTTCATACCATACCAAGTGTCTGGAATACCGTGATTTCCGGAATACAGTGAGTCTACGTTACATTCATACAATGAGGCTGGTTGTAGAAAAAGATTTATTAGTCTATACACACAGTAACAGTCAGATTACGAGTTTACAGTACTTTGTTTTCTATGTGTGATATTCTGTTATGTGGGGTAATTAATCATTGACATTTACATGTTGGATGTTAAGGGAAGTACATCGCTTCTCCTTTAAGTGATTGCGCGCAGACGCATATGCGAACAGAGAAGCAGAGGAGTGTGAGAGAGTAGGCCCCTGATGTCAGTTAACTAATTTTGCCTCACTATTCTGAATAAATAAATTCCATTGCATTCATCATCCCATTCGTTGTGTGGTGGTCAGGTGTGTCCGCGATGTCCGGGAAGTGACCATCTGAAGTCTGCTACACCTGCAGTTTTTCTTGCAGTTTATACAGCCTGCTGTCACAGAGACGAGCATTATATTTCAGGACACCTAATTCAATGGCATCTGTATGTGTGTCAGATAATAGGAATAGTGCAAATCCATAAATGGATCGTTAAGAGCATTAACTAACATTACTGAATTATATAATGCTTTACAGAACATTCATGTTCTTTCAAGTATAGACAAATGTTTGTTTGTTTTTAGAACTTTTCTGTTTTATATATCCTTTTAAACTGATTTCTGCAGTACCTTCACTGACTTCCAGAGGTCTCTAGTTGAAACCCCTGGCTGACACGGATCTTAACCCCATTCTTGTAATTGCATAATCTCTTTAGCATTAGAATGTATTGAATATCCATTATTGTGCCAGTAGCTGTGTCCCAAATGACAAACTATACACTATGCACTTATTCTATGCAATATCTACTCAACCATCTAGTGTTTGAGTTTTAAAAAGCTATTTTGTCATCCAGTGTTTGAGTATAATAGCCTCTCCACTTTGGAACTGGAATGCATCTATACCAGTGTCTCAAAGAAAAATATCTTATCTGACACTAAAATATTTCCATAGTATGTAAGCAACTACAAATCAAGAATAAAAATTCAATAATCTCACCAAAGTGTTTTCAGGTTGTTTGGGTTTAATAAAACAAAGGCTAATCAGGAAACTAATTTGCCCAGAAAAAGGAATAAACACTGAATAAAAACATTTAGTCAGCATTCAAATCTATTTATCCGAGCTGCAGAACTGAGGCATGACACTTCACTCACAGTGGGATGAATACTCAGTCTCTGACAGATCACCTGAGGGAAATGTTGATAATGAGAAATTAGCTTAATGCCAACTGATACTTTTGAATCACATATTATTTATTTTTTATTTTTTAAAAGGCACATAAAATCTTACTTGTTTGGTAATAATCATACACTTTAATCACAGCTGGCTTGAGATTCTTCACTGGAACAATCTGTTTTAATTGTAACTGGTGACTGACAGGAATATTTTTTGGAACCTGCAGGAGGATAAACAAATCATGGAAATTATTGAAGATTTTAGGTAAAATGTGAAGGAATCACTGTAACTTATATGAATGTTGCTGTTCTCCCACCTCTTTCAAATACACAATGACATGATCATCTTTAGAATCGACCCGTTCCACAAGTGATGCGCTTGAAGTGCTTTGAGTTTTAAGCTGTGGAAAAAGTGATTTAAAAAAAAAAAGTATGATTTGTTACAATGCCCAACTGGAGAGCTATTTTCTGTAAGCTATCATGCTGTTCAACAAGAAGTGAGGAGGACAATATTGGCCATAGCTGCACCATCTTACAGTAGATTCACAGAGACCGTACAGTAAATCTAATAATGAATCGCTTCACATAGTCAAACGTACCATTGATGTATCAGCTGTGAATCCAGATAGGAGTTTAATATCCACAATGACCATGTTAGTCCTTGCCTGTGTACCATCATATCTGGAAAAAATAAATATGAACTATCAGAGCTCATGTTGACTGAACTAAAGCCACAAACAAAATCATGTCTTATAGCATAAAGTTATTGTTCTTACTTCACAGTGAAATTTAACAATAGGGACTGTCCAAAGGTTTTCTTGCAATCTCCCTCAATCTTAGCGTCAATGCTCAATGTTTTAGCTTCAGTAGGAGTGGGAATGTTGTAGAACTGAGCCATCTGAGAGAGTCACCACAAACATATTCATAATTCATCTCACAGCAGAGTAACCACAATGCCAAGAGAGAAAGGGAGTGTGAGTAAATGAAGCTGAACGCACTACAGACCTGCACAGACACACAGGTTGAGCCCTTCACTTCAATGCTGTATTTGGCTGGAACGGTCTGCAGCTGCTTCTCCTGGTACAGTAACTTGTTGTCCTGATTGACATCAAAGTGGTGAGTGTCTCCTGCTGACTGTACAGTCACTGTGCTGGAGCCGGCAGAGCTGAACACTTTGGTAGCGTACAAAGACAGAGCCTGAAGAGCCACCACTGTGTCCTGGGAAATAAATGTGTTCAGTAATGTCACTTTTACTCATTCACACCGGTAAAAATGTGTTTGATTGGAGTAGTTTGAGTAACCTGTGTGGAGGAGAATCCTCCATAGGCATTCTGCTGCTTCACAAGCCAACTGACAATCCTGTTAGCATAGCCCAGATCAGCTGTAGTGACTGAATCTGCAGAGAGAACAGCTAGCAGCACATATGAGCTGATCTCCACTGCCAGAGAATCAGAGTCATCAGCAGATGCAGACTGAGACCAGTGGAGAAGAGACCCTTGAGGACAAAAGACACACGCCTAACTCAATGAGCATGATAAAAAATAAAAAATAGGACAGCCATAATAGACAACAGAAAGTCATCAGAAACAAACCTCTTACCGTCTGAAATAGCAACATCCTCCAGTTTCTTGAAAAGCTGCTGTCGAGTGTCCGTGTCTTTAGCCAGACTGAAAGTGTAGGCGAGCAGAGCAGTGGTGTAAATGTTTTTGACATCCTCAATGACGGACCTCAAGCATGACAAACCTTTACTGACGACAGGATCCTGTGACAAAAACAGAGAAACCGACATTGTGAGTGTCATTTTTCTATGAGTTTATAGAGCCAGCAGCCATATCACCCTGTAGCCCAAGACTGGTTGCCCACTGAAGCTAAGCAGGGTTGAGCCTGGTTAGTACCTGGATGGGAGACTTGAGAAAAACCAGGTTGCTGCTGGAAGAGGTGTTAGTGAGGCCAGCAGGGGGCGCTCACCCTGTGGTCTGTGTGGGTCCTAACGCCCCAGTATAGGGACGGGGACACTATACTGTCAAAGAGCACCGTCCTTCGGATGAGACGTTAAACCGAGGCCCTGACTCTCTGTGGTCATTAAAAATCCCATGGCACTTCTCGTAAAGAGTAGGGGTGTAACCCCGGTGTCCTGGCCACATTCCACCCATTGGCCCCTGCCAATCATGGCCTCCTAATAATCCCCATCCACTGAATTGGCTCTATCACTCTCTCTCCTCTCCAACTATAGCTGGTGTGTGGTGAGCGCACTGGCGCCGTTGTACTGTGGCTGCCGTCGCATCATCCAAGTGGATGCTGCACACTGGTGCTGGTTAAGGAGAGACGCCCTGATATGATTGTAAAGCGCTTTGGGTGTACAGTAGTACATATGAAAGCGCTATATAAATGCCTCATTCATTCATTCATTCATACTGTGTTTCCTGAAGATGAACTTACTGTGACTGGAGTTTCCAGTTCAAGCAATGATGCAGTAATGTAGGCAGTCATGGTCACATTATCATTCACTCCACCCTGGAATATATGAGAAATGAAAGAAAAATAAAGCAACACACTACTAAAGGAAAGTTCATCTAGAAAAACTTGCTTTATATATCCATTTGGCAGACGCTTTTAGGTACTTAAATATCCTAATTAGGCCTAAGGCCGAATCCTGGCATAAACCGTGTCTGTGAAACCAGGCCTAAATGTTTTTTTGTTTTGTTTTTAAAGCTTAAACATTTACAGGTCTAAGATTCCAGGTTTTCTAGATAGTTACTAGACCATTTCTAGGTGGCTGCTAGGGTGTTCTAGATAGGAAGAGAGATAGAGAGATATAGATAGACAGAAGTTGACAGACCTTCATTCTGTTGTTGAACAAGCTTCCCTGTTGGATAAAACAGCCGTCTGAATCCCGTCTACTTATTAACCAATTCTTTGCACCCTGAATAATTTCTGGATCAATAAATATGTATTTCTGTGCTCTGCCAAAAGACCTCAAGACAAAGGCAGTCAACCTGGTGGTGTGGAAGATAATAAAAAAAAAATGTCATAAGGTGTTTTAATGAATTCACCATCATAAATCTCAAAACAAATAATTTGAACTGAGACACATTCTTAAATTTGTTTTTTGTACTATTCTCTTGGGTTTATTATTGTAGATTATCTTGATATTATTTCTGTTTAACAAAAGTAATAGTGAAAATATATTTACCATGTATTCCCATCACCATAACCAAATGTGCTGTAAGATCCATCCAAATGCTTGTAGTTCATTTGTCTCTGGTATCCTGTTTGGTGTAATAATGGTTAACACTTCAACAGTTTGTTTGGGTTGACTCAATGTGTCTGATTATTCAACTTTACTGAATGACATTCAGTTGTGTTGAAAAATGTATAATTTGCTATCAAACAATCTCAGTATTTCCTTGACATGATTTATGTCTCTCACCGCTCTTCAGGAAGCCTGTGGCTCTCTCTCGGATGGCTGAGGTGAGCTGCTCTGTGTTCTCCAGATACTGCAGAATGTAAATATTGGGAGAAAGAACAGCCATGTTTTGCTCTCCACAGCCGTACGGCATCCGTAATAATCCGTGAAGATTCCTCAGTGCACGACCCAATATATCTCCTATAAACCATACACAAATGAAACTACATTTTATAAATCCAAACCCAATCTCCTCATTTCTGCTTGTATTTGTAAATTTTACCAATGACTGAAACAGAGGATCTGGCTGATCCCTCTATCACATCTTTAGGGAGAGTCAGAGCCACTTCCTCTGAGAGACTGTCACCTACAAACCAGACAGACAGAAACACATATCAGTGATCAGCAGAGTAACACTATGGTTTAATATTAAATAACAAAAAAATTAAATATACATTTTAAATCTATATATAAAACAATTCTGTGGACAAACCCTTTGGACACAATAACCAGCTTTGAGTCTCTGTCTTTTCAGTTCCTTCCGCCTGCAGCATAAAACAATCACATCAACACATCATACTGGCATAAGCATTATGATAAAGGGTAAATGATATCTAAGAGACATTTGACGTGCGCTGACCTGTACAAGCAGACTTCGTGTGACCGTGTCAATGCGTCCTCTCTCTGGGACGCTCACAATCTCATTGTCACACACAGTCTGGGACGCCTCTGCCTCTGCACTGACAGTAATATTCAAGACTCCTACAACACAAGACATGTACGTGAAGATACAACAGACACAAACACTGAGGGCCAGATGTAAGTACTTTTGCGAACGCAGTGTTAATAGCGCCATGGCCAAGACGCAGAAAGCGCTTGATGTGAAACTGCAGTGTGCGTGTTATGTACCAAACCTGCAGTTCATCAGGTAATCAGCGCCTGTCCCCACCCACTATACTGTAAATTGCGTGGTTTAAACGCGCAATTGAATGGGCCTCCTCCTCTCACTGCTGATGCTATGACTGTTTGAAATGATCCTAATGCCAATAATTGTAATGTAGCGAGGAGTTTAACAACTGCTGGAAGGGAATGTGAACGCTGAGTCGGAGATTCGATGTCATCTTTAATTTCTTCCAGTAACTGTAATATTGCGTAGCTGCTTAATCTGTAACGCTTAATGATTTCGTTTTCACTCAACTGAAAAAGTGTGATTCTGGTGGCAAAAATCTTTTCAGCTCGTCTCCTATGTCTATGCTATCATTTCTTCGTCTTCAGAGCCGGTCCGAGCCTTTTGGGGGCCCTAAGCAGAATTTGATTTGGGGGCCCCCTCCCACTACGCGAAGTCACCTGTGCTTGACGATTGACACAAATGTCACGCAATAATGATACATTATAAATTAATACAGTGAGGTTATGTATTAATACAAAATAAATACTTAATAAAAAATAGATGCCTACTTAAATAAAAAAGTTTTAACTTTTACTTTACTCTTTTACTAACTCTTTGAAACTTCTTAAAACAAACGGTCTCAAAACATATAAAATAAATTATTCGCTAAAATAATGACATAACTACGCAGCCCGCCTAGTCCCACTTTGTCAAAAAAATGTATTATAGTATCTTGAGGCCACGAGATAGTTATAATACATTTTTTATAGTATTATAAAAAACGATCTTGAGGCCACGAGATAGTTATCTCGTGGCCTCAAGATCGTTTTTTATAATACTATAAAAAATGTATTATAACTATCTCGTGGCCTCAAGATAAGTATCTCGTGGCCTCAAGATACTATCTCGTGGCCTCAAGATA